AGCAAAAAAAAAAGTTTAGTCAAATGCACAGACAATTCTCCTGATTTGACCTTACTTTTTTGGTGACCACATTGATATATAACAAAGATATTCTGTAAAGACCCATTCACACCAGGAAAAATATCTATAACCATCCAATTTTAATTGCCACAACTATGACTGATTTCTCTATTACTGAACAATAAAAACAATAAAGAGGTCAAGCATTTAAAGCAGCATATTATTTAACTGCAGCAACCACTTAGAATAAACAGAATGTTATCATCCATTTTGTGGATGCTAAAATAGTTGGCATTAGTTATTGTTCTTGGAGTGAAAGAGTGGGGCTTCAGGACACGTTAGAGAAGCTCTGTGTTAATGTATAGGAATACACTTACCCCTAACATAGATCTGGGTCAGGATCCTGGAGTTTCTTGAGACAGCATCATTCTCCTTGCTCATCGGGAACCAGAGGTGCAGCTCCGCTTTGAATTTGTGTTTGAGGAACTGGTACCATGACTGCAAACATAGACGGAAAAAACAGATCAGATCAAAAGGAAAACCTCCAATTCTAAAAACATTTATAAACAGAAATGACTGCTGATCATTAGAACTTCTGAGATATCTTACACTTGTAAGTAACTTAGTCATTTCCTTCCAGATTCGTAAGGAAAGGAATATTTCACAAGAAGAAAAGATCTACACATATTCTGCATTGGTAAGGTACCTAAAAGATCAAATAAAACAAAAAAGTAAAAAAAACTAACTAAGATGTAATAATTTACTTATAAAGTACTATAAATACTTTAAATGTATATTTAAAGTCAAGCAAGGGTGAAAAAATTACAAATAAGTTCATGAAACTGACTTACATGTGTCCTATTCTTGGAGATTTCTGACGTGTCTTCATCAGAGTCTGGTATGAGGATTTCTGGAAAAGAAGGAATGACAAAACCAGCATGCAGTGAATTCAACTTTAATTATTATAATTACCAATATACCTAAAGACATATTATGTAAAGTTGTACTTACATTTCTTTTGTTGAAGGCTGCTGATGGCATTCTGTTGGTCAACAGTAACCACCTCCATCTCACTAAATTGGTTGAATTGGGTCCATTTTGTCTGGTTCTCGTTATCCCCATCTACCTTATTTTATTATATGAAGGACAGTTGAAGGCTACATTTCAGCAACACAAATAAAATATTTCATTTAATAAAAATATACATAAATACATTCATACATATAAAATAATTCAGTGTCAAACAGACTGTGAGACACATTAAAAATACAAACCTCATGTAAGCGACACGCCTCTTGCATCTCGTAACGTAAATAAAGGCATTCAGAATAGGAATTAAATACAAGCATGAACTCACCAGAAAGGGACCATCACCATCACAGCATCAGGCTGTGTTTGAGGACAGTTAGTTGTTTGGAGGACTGCCAAATATCTCTTTGAACTTAATAATGGACACAATACTTAAGTTATGTGTATTATATTTTGCCACAGTAACACATGCTTTATTTGGAATTTTTTATTATAACCAGGAAAATATAATATATACACTCATATATTTTTATGCTTACTTTTCTAATATTAAAGTTTCACTATGTACAAATCAAAACACATGCTTGTAGCTTTGATTTGTGAAAGAACTTCTCGCTTTTACTGGCTTTAGGATGTAAAGGACACTCTCACTCTCTTGTGGTTCAAGTTCTCAAGGATGATTTACGCTTTCTAGATGGGTGGGATATGAAAAACAATTTCACTGAAAAAGAATTATCACAGTTTTTAAATGAGCAACTTAACCTCCTCAATTTTTTAAATATGAGATTTCATTTGACATAATATCTTTCACATCAATCAACATTTTTTGACAGTTTAAATGTTCACATGTAAAGGATCCTTGTAGTGGCTCACACAGTAACACAGCGATGACACTAATTTAAAACACTATATATATATATATATATATATATATATATATATATCTTAAAAATCTCTAAATAACACAATTTGTACCTTTTTAGCTTTCCCTTGATTTCAGCAACTAACATAACTTATCTGCAGAGAGAAACAAAAACAAACATGTGAGTGCATGGGACATGATAATTAAAAATTCTACAAAAATCCAAATAAATATTAGTATTGAAACGCAACCGTTTCTGTGCGCCTGTTTGGAGTCCTCTTGAATGGGGCGGGGCGACACAAATAAACGCTTGATGACAGCACCTGCTCGGCGCTTCTCACTCCAGTCCAGCAGGTGGCGATAAAACACATTCCTTTGCCAAACACCATTAAAACTCAGAGGAAGAAGATTCGTTTCACCAGCTCTCTGTTGTTTTTACGTGATGCTGTTTACAATCTGTTAGAAATGTTGTTTCTGTACGCTAAATAGAAAAATACAGTTTTTGAATCAGGTCAGTAAATACCTGTAATATTCTCATCTTCACAGTCGTGACTAAGTTTGAAGCAAGCAGGGATATCTGGAGGAGTATCATCTGAACTGAGATCTGCTGCTGTGAAGATGCTGTTTGTTAAAGAGGAGAGTGAAGAGGACACGAGTGAACCAGAAACCTGGAGAGTAAAACCTGAGGAACCAGAAACCTGGAGAGTAAAACCTGAGGAACCAGAAACCCGGAAAATAAAACAAGAGGAACCAGAACCCTTGAGACTAAAACAAGAGGAACCAGAAACCTGGAGAATAAAACACGAGGAACCAGAACCCTGGAGAATAAAACACGAGGACACAGAAACCTGGATAATAAAACACGAGGAACCAGAACCCTTGAGACTAAAACAAGAGGAACCAGAACCCTTGAGACTAAAACAAGAGGAACCAGAACCCCGGAGAATAAAACACGAGGAACCAGAACCAGGTTGGTGTTTATTATAAATTAATCTTTAATGAGTTTGTGGTATATTAGGCTAACAGAGAGTTAACAGGGTGCCTGCAGATCCTTAAGTTTTATATTCCTTATTATAAAACGGTTAGTTCCATTCCTCGATTCTGATTGGTCAGCAGCTGTGTTTTATTCACGATACAGCACGGCTTTGACCTCTTCACCCAATGGTTCTGGGTATCACTGAGCAACACCCTTAGCAACATAAACAATCAATAATATAGCATCAAAACTGTTTCATGTTTTAAGTATTTTGGCAGAATGAACTGTTTGTTTATTTAATGAAGAATGAGGGGCCCCTGCTTATGTTGCATCTTTCATCTTTAATTGAGACCCCGCCCTTCCTGTCTAATAATTTTTTTATTTTTTGAAGTATAGCAAAAAATGACATGTTTACAGAACAAATTGGCATACAACTTACATTCAAGGACAACAGTTTTAAGAGGGGCTTAGACTTACACAGAATAAAAAAAATAAATAAAGAGGAAAAAAAAAAACATTAAAAAAAATGACATGTTTACAGAACAAATTGGAATACAACTTACATTCAAGGACAACAGTTTTAAGAGGGGCTTAGACTTACACAGAATAAAAAAAATAAATAAAGAGGAAAAAAAAACATTAAAAAAAGAACATTCATTATTTAAACCATCTATATTAATAAATATAGATTAAACACAGGGGATAAAAAAAACATTATAATAAATTATATTTATCAAATAAATCTTAACAAGATTCCGACTTTTTTATTTTTTGTTTTTGACAAAGTTTTTGAGTATAAGTCTCAAATAATTCTATAAACATGGGGGGTGATTTAAAAAAATCTACATTTGTGAATAAAATTCTTCGCTAACAAAAGTAAAACATTAATCAGAAAACCTTTTTTATCACCTTCTTCATAGTTTCCATACTTAATATCTATAAAGGACAGGTTCAATTCAACCACATTTTCCTCTTTTAACCAAAGTTGCACTTTGTCCCAGAAGATACTAGAATATTTACAAGCAATAAAAAAATGCTCTGTATTATCTGGAGATGCGTTACAAAATGTACATAATATTGTTTCAAAATTAAATCTAACCCTTGGAAACTCTCCAGAAGGGTAAATACCATATAACATTTTAAAGTGAGTTTCTTTCATTTTGGGGTGAACTGGAAATTTTAAATATGAGGTTCTAATATGTTTAAGCATTCGTTTGTCAAAGAAAAGATCCAAATTATTCCTTACAGACCTGTAGGGAAACATGACATTGTTGAAGATTTGTCTAATATAAACGTTTGTACATTTCTTACTTTTAAACTCAGTTGGCCCAAGGTATAGTGCCGGTAAAATTGGTGTAAATTGACTATATAATAAATAACCTTTCATAATAATTTTAAGTCCAGAGGGGATGGCTGAAATTACTGTGAAAAACGGTTTTGGATGGCATGCAAACCCATGTTTAAGAGTAAAAGCGTTGTAATCCAACACCTCTCCAGCATCATCAAAGTGACAGACTGGCACTTGGGCCATCAAAATGCAAATCTGCTCTTAATCTGAATAACGTTATAGCTTTAATAAGCATTAATCTATCAATACATACACTGAAAACTATGCAGTATTCATTTACATTTGATTACTTTTAGATTTCTTTTGTAGGCTATTACTTATCTGGACAGTAATGTTAGTAGAACTTCATGGAAAAATGACAGCACTGTTTATTTCATTTGTATATTTGTTTTATTGTATTTGTCAGTTTGTTTTACTTTGTTTCTTTGTTCATGGTCTTACTGTATCTTATCTTATGTATAAAACACTAAAAATGCCTGCACACTGGTGCATTTACAAATTGATGTTTTATATTCATTTCATTAAATGTTTTTTTACATTTCAGAATATAAAGCAATGTTAATTCAGCTCTTAATTTGTCATATATATATATATATATCGAATCGATAAGCAGTATCGATAAGAGTAGTAATACCGTTAAAACCTTGAAGATACCCATATAGATTTAGTTTGTTGTAATAGGAAAAATCCTCATCAGGGTTGACCTTTATGTCCACATTTCTCTGCTGTTTACAAGTTACTGAAAATGAACCATTTTTACTTTTATTTCAGAGTTGATTGAAGAAAACAAGAATGAAAAACTGAGTGAAGTTGAGGAGAAAATTCATGTTAAAACTGGAGAAAAACCTTGGAGTTGCTCTCAAACCGAACAGAAAGATTTAAGGAAAAGAAGAGCCCAGAAATCATTCACCTGCACTCAGTGTGGAAGGAGTTTCACATACAAAACAAGTCTTGAGCGTCACATGAGAGTTCATACTGGAGAGAAACCGTTCACTTGTGATCAATGCCAGAAGAGTTTCACACACTCAGCAAACCTTAAGAATCACATGAACATCCACACTAGAGAGAAACTGTACACATGCGATCAATGCGGCAAAACATTTTTGAGGGCTTCAGTTCTGAAGGAACACCTGAAGGTTCATACAAAGGAGAAGCCACATTCATGTTATTTCTGTGGAAAGAGTTTTTCATGTCTACAAAATTTGAAAGTACATCAGAAAATACATACTGGTGTGAGAGAGTACATGTGCTTTGAGTGTGAAAAGTCTTTTACTTCAACGAGCCGTTTAAAACGGCACCAGAGGATCCACACTGGAGAAAAACCTTATAAGTGTTCACACTGTGACAAGAGATTCAGTCAGTCATCAAATCTGAAAAGACACAAGAGGATCCACACTGGAGAGAAACCGTATCACTGCACTGCATGTGGGAAGTGTTTCAATCGTTCATCTGCTTTACACAGTCATACAAAAAACAATCACAGTAAATAGATCATCTTCAGATCCAGTACTTTCAGATCTGATGCCGCGTCCTCAATAAATGTGACACAATAATGAATCAAACAATAAAATATAATTTCACAGTGAATAAAGCTCGTCATCTTCTTCAGAACCAGCAAATTGAACTGTAAGATTCAAATCAACTCAAAGATGGAGTTCCTTCCTGAAGAACAATGTCAAAATGTTTTATTATTGTATATAATTTTGCTTCATGATAAGAATGATATCATTGTGCTTTCTTATGAGTTTCATATAAAGTTCAGTTGTCATTACTGACAGTCAAACAGCAAAAGAATGCTGTCTTTCCCTCACATCCTTTGGCTGGCATTACAGTAGTTTTGATCTCTCTATCATTGCGCCGCTCACAGCTGAGCACGGATGGTCTGCAGGATCTGATGATCAGTACTCGACTCCATCCTCCTGCAGATATGTGTGAGACTCGCTTCATTTGCTGCCTGTTTTTGATCCGGTCAGTAACATGCTTGTACATGACCAGATAGAGCTTTATAAAACGGATAGTTCCGGTCCTTGATTCTGATTGGCTGAGCCACGTTCGAAGCGGTTGTAAATTACTCTACAAACATACACCTTTGTTTACTTCTGTGTATTGCTCGACAACCACTTTGTTGCAACCGCAACTGTTTCTGAGGAACATCGTTTGGTGGAAGAATACTGTTTTCATTAATATCATTACACTTTATTTGCTCTGTTTTATTTTGTGAAACCTTACTACGTATATGGAATAACCATTTTTACAGTTGTTTACAGTGAATTTATAACAGCTAAGGGGCGTTGTTAGGGGCTTATTGCTTTATTTTAACCCTTTTTATCTTCTGTCTAGATATGTACCCTTTTTGCCAGGCATTTTTTCTGTTTATCTAATTTTATATTTTAGTTTTTAAATCTGGCCCATGGCATCAGTTCTCAGTGAAACGTGTTGTAATGGCTGACATCTAATTCTGTGAGATGCGTGAGTTTCTCTTCACAGCCGGCACACACGTAAAAAAGAAAGACTACAGAAGCTTTTATTGAGAATTAACAGTATGTTTCAGCTGTTTTAAATAAAACATCAACATCTAAACCTCTGTTTAGTTGCTGCAGAAATTGTTTGCATTTATGGTCATATATTTATGCATGAGGCATTTGCTTACAGAGAGCTGTGAACAAAGCAGTCAGTGGAGAGGCGATAGATGGTGATGACTGAAAAACGCTGGGTTTATTACTGAGCACAGAAAGACAGTTTAATGGCTGATAGGATCCACGAGCTTCTACTCTCAGCAAATCATCTCCAGCAGCAGCTGCAGTTTGGCAGGATACTCTCAGGATGCTTCTACACGTCAACAACTTTAAAACATTCAACATTTTAAGTCTTAAGTTTTGAATATTTTTTTTTGTCTTAATTTAAATCTTCCAAATAATTGTCAAAATGTTATGTGTATATTGCTGTTTCTCATATTCTTTCAATAAAAGTGTCTGTGAAATGAACAAATCTGAATGTAATAGCAGAAAATCAAATATCAAGGCTTCTTTGCTTTCTGTGAGTCAAACATCAGTTCTTTTCAGCTTTTATATGATAATACAGTTGACCACAGAAAAGATATTGGCCGCTTATTAATTTATTCATTGATAATAGGCTTTAAATAGTTATGTTTCCTGTATAAACCCTGTGTGTAAACTATTGATAACAAACATCTTAAATATTAAGACTGCTCAGTTAAAGAGGAATCAAACTGACAGAGATACTGTAAGAAATACATTTCTATTTTTGAAGTGCACTTTTAAAGCTAAGCATTTTTATTGCTAAAATAAAACTCAACGAACAGTTTAAAATGAACCAAAAAATTTCAGAGAAATCACTCACTAATGAATAACATGAATTGTACAAAGAGACTTGATTGAATTTGTGACTGGATGAAACTGAAACGGCTGTAAAACAGCTGAAGTCAAATTAAACTCTGTGCCATCAGATAAACTCGGGACGCTCTACAAATCTCAAACTATAGTCGTAAGGACAGGTTCGGCAGACCTATGCTGCTGTTCACTGGAATCACCACAGGTAATGTCTGAAGACATGAAAGACATTGTGTTCATTCTTACAGCTGAAAATCAACCTGTTGCTGAAGTGAATGCTGCTGTTGTGACAGGAAAAGAATGACATGAAACACCATTGTTAGAGCATTCCTGATCACTGAGAAAAACATGGGCTTTCCTCTGCAGCTTCTGCTCTCTGTTAAGAGCACTGGTGTGTGTAGGAGTGGAGAAAGACTGCATTTAGATATTTTGGTCATGGTTTGAGTATTTGAAGGTGGAGACATTGATAAATACACTCCTCTCATCTCCAGTGCAGATTCTGGGTAGATACTCATTTATCATGTCATGCATTTGATTCCTGATCTTAGAGAAGAGCAGAGTGTTGAACTGAAAACCTCTGAGCAGATCAGTGAGGTGGAGTTTCTTAGGACTCTGATGGAGTATGCTTGAGGAAAACTGAACTGGGATCAAGATGAAGCAGATGTGATTCTGTGATGTGATTATTTTCATCAGCTTTGTCTCAGATCATCTCTCCAAAGCTTCAAGAAGTAAAGCTTCATCCATCACCATCAGGTCCGAGTGCTGCAGCAGAGCGTCCATCATCTGAAAGAGATGCTGCTCCACACTGGAGATCTTATGAGAAACTCATGCTATCTAAACATGCAAGGGGAGATCAAAAGTTCAGAGACTATGCCCATCATGATAAACAATGGAAAACAGGGTAACGTTAGTCTGTTTGTGTAATGATGTAGTATAGCACTCCTGACAGACAGCTCTCTTTCTAAAGGGCCACTTAATGTTAAAATGTTTGCAAGTGTTCTGTTGTTCTTGGGGACATTTTGTATCTTTTACATCATGTACAGTGACTAAAATAAGTATTTTACCACAGTAAAGTGACTTTTACTTTACTGGACTGATTAATCCCCACATACAGGGAATTACAATAGTCCAGACGTGAAGACACAAATGCATGCATCACTCTCTCGAAATCATAAAACGGCAAAAATGGCTTTATCTTTGTCAGTGCTCTTAATTGAAAAAAGCCTGATCTGACAAAAGTATTTGATCTGTTTGTCAAATTTTAACGACTCATCAAAAAGTACCCCTCAATTTTTTAGCATGGATTTGCTGTGAATAGATAAAGGGCCTAAATTGAATTTAGGGGACCCATATGTATTTGGGGGTGCAAACACAATCATCTCTGTTTTAGATTAATTCAAATGCAAAAAGATCTCATCCAACCAAGTTTTCAGGTAATTCAAACAAGTAAGAAGAGGCCCTAGTGAGCTACTTTCCTTCTTTACTGGCATGTATTTCTGTGTGTCATTAGCGTAACAGTGAAATAATATTCCATGTTTTTTTTTTTTAAATAGACCCAATTGGAAGTGTAAGGGTAAAAGAAACTCAGATACTTTGATCTCCTGAGAAACAGACAATACACTGGCATCTTCAAGACACCCCACAGAGGGGTGGTGCAGGAAACGCCTCTCTCACATATGCATCAGTGCCTTTTCATCTGCTCCCTCCACTGGATTCACTCAGAATGGTCAATAGTATAATGTTCTATATGAATGCAAATAAGATTTACAGTCATGTTTGGTTTCATTTGAATAGTCTCAGGGTGAGTGGTACAATGGTCTTAATCTTACAAAAGTAGACTAAAAGATAATACAGATCATAAGAGTTAAGAGATACTCTAAAATGGAGTCAGATTAGATACTAAAATGGAGTCAGATTTGAGTTCAACCTAAATTTAATAACTCTGCGTGCTGAAAAGACCAAACACGCGAGTAACCTTCATCCACCACTGGATACCTTCCTTGGGCCAAGTGCGTGGACCTTACAAAGTGGTGACCCTGACGCGATCACCTTACAAAGTGGTGACCGGCGATGCGATCACATAAACAGGCGAGTGACGTTTTTTCAGCGGAATATGGATTTGCACGGAACAAAGGGTTTAATCATCTCCTTCTCTTTCTCCAGCTGCTGTGGTAAGTCAATTCTTATTTGCCTTATAGAAATATTGAGGGAAAGACAGACGCATCCCATATATACACATTAATAGAATGAGTCGGAATACTCATTGTTAGACCAGAGACCGGATCCGGTGGGTTTGAGAATTAGACGAAACCACGTACTTGTCAGGAACATGATAGCGGGAGCGTAGACGAGGAATGACATCCCTTGTTCTGAAATGGAAATGTCTCTTTGTTTGCCTAAGCAACAAGAGATGAAACTTAAAATTGGAATACCATCATCCAAATTATATTCTGGTACTCAACAGAGAGTCATAAATTAGAACCTAAAGTTTTAATCTGCAAACTGCCTTCTCTATTGTTTTATTTGCTTCGTTGCAACTAATGAGCAACATTTTAATGAGAATGAACAAACAGAATACAAATTCCAAATTAGTAAAAAATTTGATTTGTGATTGACTGAAAGGAAGGCAATTCAAGTTGATACATTTATATGTGAAAAGTAAATTGGGCAAAACAGAATGGTGTAATCACAATACAGATAAAATAACTTAAAGAAAACTTTATGTAGAACAAAATTATACATCAGCTCTTTAAGACTAACTAGGATACTGCAAAGCAGAACTCCTTTTGACTGCAGTCAAACAAGAGATAAGCATAAAAAATCTGAAACTGATACACAGATTGAAAGTGATGATTTTATAAAACAAATGACTTTGTTTCTGAGAGTGGCTCAAAGCTGAGTCTGAGGGTACACCCACTCAGAAGACTCATGTTTTTCTCCGTTACATGGGAGTTGTTTATGGTCAAATAGTAACACACAATGAAACATATCACACCTTATATCAAGCAAATGGCTACTGGGCCTTCACAAACCTTTGAGACCTAAAAACAGTGATTGTGCTTTGCATCAGCCCTGAGCTTGCCCAGCTCCTCAACACCTTTTCATATTCAAATGAATTGCCATGAGAATGCAATTGTGACAACTTAGACCTTATTGCAGATGGAAAATTTCTCACATGAGTTGTGATTTGACCATGTACTCCAAATATGCTTGCAGTCTTTGGATGTTGACAACTTCAGAGTCTCTCATTGGCTTTAAGACAGACTAGTTGTTATACATACAATGTACATGTGTGTACTACTGTGACTACAGGGCCAAATCACAAGGTCTTCTCAAAGACGAACACATTGACAACTGTACTATTCCAAAGACTCTCCAGAGACCAGAAATAATATTATTTTAATATATACTATTTTAATATAATATAATGATATTATAAATCAAATTATAATGTACATTATATTATAATCACCAAGTATGGCATTACATGGAGAAATGTGATTTTCTAACCCTTACAATTAGATTTCATTGGTCTGCTTTCTTTTGGTGCCCAAAAGGGAGGAGGGTGTGTTTTCATTTCAATAGTGTGACACAAGCGATAGAGAACCAATTCATCCTTCGCTGAGGAGCACCAACTAAAAATTTAATCTGATCAGAGAGGGTGGCTAACATTATTTGGAAATTGAAACATCCAAATTTCAATGCAGAATTCAGAAGCTCTGAATTTGCACCTAATCTTGCTCCTTAAAAAATAAAAAAATAAAAACATTCATATGGAACTATTTTGAGCCAAATCTCACCTCATACTCGCATTCACTGGTTACCAGTTACAGCAACAGGACCAAATTTACACCACAATTGTAAAACTTCCTTTCCTTTATTTGGAGCATGACTGTATTTACACAAAGCCATGGTCGAATGCAGCCACACAGCACTATTTGATCTTTTAGAAAAATACATAGTGTGAAGTGTGTGGACACACACCAAACTACGGGCTCTCTGACTACAGAATCGCGCCGAACCTTTTGCTACAATCCTTTAAATACAAAACCAAGATAAAACATCCCCCAAATGGAGGCATGTACAAGCAATTGGAATTTACATTAACCCAGGTCCCAGACCTGGGTGGTTTGCACCTCAGTGGGAACAGAAGGTAATTTGCATGGAATGTAATCAGAGTATCTCTTAACTCTTAGGATCTGTATTATCTTTTAGTCTACTTTTGTAAGATTAAGACCATTGTACCACTCACCCTGAGACTATTCAAATGAAACCAAACATGACTGTAAATCTTATTTGCATTCATATAGAACATTATACTATTGACCATTCTGAGTGAATCCAGTGGAGGGAGCAGATGAAAAGGCACTGATGCATATGTGAGAGAGGCGTTTCCTGCACCACCCCTCTGTGGGGTGTCTTGAAGATGCCAGTGTATTGTCTGTTTCTCAGGAGATCAAAGTATCTGAGTTTCTTTTATCCTTACAGAAGCATATATAATGAAAACAAAATAGGACCCAAAATGTATCCTTGGGGAATCCCACATGTAAGAGGAGCCAACGATGATTTAAATTCACCCAAGGCAACTGAAAAACGTATATTTGTTAAATAGGACTTAAACCATTTTAAATAGTTTAGTATCAGTACCTTGAAGCCCTACCAATCGTTCAAGCCATGCAAATAAGAATTTTATGGTCTATGGTTTCAAATGCTGCACTAAGGTCAAGTAACACCAGAACTGCAGCACTACCAGAGTCCACAGTTAACAAAACATTGTTAAGAACCTGGGTTAGGGTTAGGAAAGTTCATATTTTTGTTTTGGGAGTCCACAACAACATGTTGACATGCATGAAAGGTCAAAAACATTTTCATTGTCTTATAATATGCATTTATTTTTACCTTATTTGCTCAAAGACTACCAAACGATTCCTTAAAAATAAATTTTTCCAAACCCCTCCTTTGCGTGACGCTAATCTGCAGTGATTGGTCCGATGACCCAGTCTGTTGTGATTGGTCTACTGCGTGCAGCACATGTGAGAAACGGAACGCCCATCAAGTTTTCCCGGGTCTGCACATGCAACAAGTGGGCGGGCATAAATATGCAAATGTTTCATGTTGACGTCAACATGAAACGGCTAAAGATTCTTTTTAAAAACGACTCATTTCAGTGACTCCGAGTTGACTCTTTCTTTTGAGAGATAATAACTTTATACACGGTGCACCTTCAGATTAAACTTTGCAGGATCTTTTCATTCACTTAGAGCTGTGTTGAAAGGTAATTTTCAAAAATCCATAATAGGGGCACTTTAAAAGCGCATATGCTTTACTGTGATGCTCCCTAAACCCAGACTGAAATACTTCAAAGAGAGAATTTATATTCAAGAAACATTGCATCTGACTGAGAACTGCTTTGTCCAACACGTTTGAGAAAAAAGGCATTTTTGAAATAGGTCTATAATTGCAATACACTGTAGAGTCCAAATTAAAGTTTTTAATTAGAGGCTGCACCACAGCATGTTTAAAAGACGCCGGAACAACCCCTGATACAAGGCAACTATTTATAATAGATAAAACACTAGGCCCAACTATATCAAAAGCCTGTTTGATCAGTTTTGATGGAACATTATCAAGTGGGGAGTCTGTTGGCTCTAACTGTTCTACTATTTTCGCCAAGAGATTAAGAACCTCAAAATGATCAAACACCACAGGGCAATATAGATGAACAGATGGATTAATAACAGCAGGAGGAATTTGAGATCTAATATTTTCAATCTTTGAAATGAAAAAATCTCTTAAAATTTTCACAATTTTTCACTGAAACATCAGGCCCAATCACATTCTTATCAGTAAAGCCGGTTCTGTAATCAGCGGTAAATCTCCATCACCTGCGTGCTTTCACATTGAGCAGCATTAACTACACAGAGCCGTTGTTCACTGACGAGCTGCGCCAAACCACGTTCATATTCGCGCGATTTTTAGCGCAGCTCGTCAGTGAACAACGGCTCTGTGTAGTTAATGCTGCTCAATGTGAAAGCACGCAGGTGATGGAGATTTACCGCTGATTACAGAACCGGCTTTACTGATAAGATGCGCGTTAAATATCGCTTGCGATTAATCGTGCAGCCCTAATTTAAATTTATTCAGTTTTAGCATTTAATAATTTATTTGTAATGATCTCTGAAATGTAAATGTAAGTGGGCTATAATAAACCCATGTTTTTCTTTATAAACATGATTCATTTTATTTGTGATGTTTTCTATATGGGATGATTAGCCTAATCCTCATGAACAAGTGACGCTAGCGGGTGGTATCAGACATGAACTATACAGAATGCGAACAAGATTAACTTTAATACTTTAATAGAGATAATGGCGCAAAAGCGAATTTCAGATTTTAAATGCCCATCCCAGCAAAAATGAGATAAGATAAGATGATTCACAAATGCCACAGAAAAATCGTTAATAACGCTAGAATTGATCATACGACACAGACATGCACTAGAGCGCGATTTAGTAATCTGACAGGTTTACTAAAAAAGGTCAAATGTCACTGTCACAAATCAAGCCTCTGTGGCTCCCTCCGATCACCACCAGAGGGAACCGTCACCGGAGTACTAACTGTTCTTAAGGACTTCATTTCCCATCACCCCATGCCTGAAATTGATTACCTGCACAGGTGCTTATCATCATCATGACTATTTAAGCGGTGCCTACCTTACCCTCGTTGCGAAGTCTTGTTTTTGCTACTGCTGACATTTCTGAGCGTTAATACCTTGTTTGATTACCTGTTGCCTACCTGGATTGTTTAGACCTGTCTGATCGTTCGCTGCTTGCTTCTTTGACCTTGCTCTGTTTTTGGATTTACTCTCTCCTCTGTCTGCCGCCTGCCTCGACCCTTTGCATGGACTCTGGTTATGATTCTGCCTTGCCTACGTTACCCCTGTATACTGTTGACTGAACTTTGCCTGTCTGGTTGTTAATAAAGCTGCACATGGATCCCAACGTCACTGAATCGTCATTACAGACACCATGCGGTGGGTTTTCCTAGATCACATCACACATTTTATCAACAACTTTTATTGTCTGCTAATTGTATTTGCATTAAGAAAATGTTTGCTTTTTGTGCTTTCTATTTTAAATTTCTCTATAAAGCTTCTGAATTGAAAGCCTTTATTGTCATTGTATTTTTCTGCACACAATGAAACTAAGAGCACTACTCCTGACTGGTGTAAGAAAACAAACATATAACCACAGACAATAAATAAGACTATAGACTATGTACAGTACAATTATAAAAGTATACAGGTGCATCTCAATAAATTATATCGTGGAAAAGTTAATTTATTTCAGTAATTCAGCTCAAATTGTGAAACTTGTGTATTAAATTCAATGCACACAGACTGAAGTAGTTTAAGTCTTTGGTTCTTTTAATTGTGATGATTTTGGCTCACATTTAACAAAAACCCACCAATTCACTATCTCAACAAATTAGAATATGGTGACATGCCAATCAGCTAA